CTCAATTATAAGTTTTATAATAGTATTAAAATTGGACACACGTGTGAGTGAAAAAATTGTGTTTTGAAAGAGAATAATATTTAAAAAAAAAATGGGTAATTTTTGTTTAAACGGGTGGTTATTTTTTCAAAGTGAAAATTTGTATATATTCTTAATTTTATATTTTATAATAGTTTTAAAATATTTTTATTAATTTTTCCATGTTACTTATTATAAACACCAAATTCAATCAAAAATTTTATAAGAGTACTAGATTTTAACGCACCCATTATTTGGGTGAAAAAGAAAAAATTATTTGGGTAAAAAAGAAAAAAGTAGTTATTTAAGGAGTTAATTAGGTTATATATATATATATATGGAATAAAAAATTAAAAATATATATTTACTTATATATTATTATTTATTTTAATTTTAAAGTAATTTCATTAATTAAATTGATCATTTCACTCTGAACACCAATTCAGTTAAGAATTTTAAAAATAATATTAAATAACTAAATATATAAATTAAGTGATAAAAAATTAGAAATAAATAATATATAAATAATTTCTTTTCAATCAATTTAAATATATATTATTAAATCTAATAATTGGGCAGCTTCCTTCTTTTTCTACCTATCACTTCTCTTTTTTTATTTTTTACCTATTTTTATCTGGGAGTATTTATATACTTGTATTAAATATACTAATACTAAATAAAGATTATTAAATGTCATAAAAATAAATAAATAAATAAACTAACGAAAGCAGCCCCCGCCACGTTCCCAATTTTTCACTTCCCAAATATGAGTACACGGCACTCGCACTCTCCCATAGCCCCAGCCAAAATGCTGGACCGAGCCCTCTCATCCCGCCGCTCTCAGCCGCACTCCGACTTCGACTTCCCCTCCACCGCCGCCACTTCCGCCATGTCTTCCGATCCGGAATCCTCCAACTTACTTACCGATGAGTCCAAAACCAAGAAACCACACCTCTATCTGTTGGCCACCAATTACATTTCTCGCTTGGGGCTGGTGAAATCGCCGTATCTCTGCCTCTCTCTGTGCCTTCTTTTGAGCGTTTTCGCGCTTTTCTCTTTGATGCTCAACTCTAGCTCCTTCGTTTGCGTTTCCTCTTATGACCCGATCTCTCGGGCCAATTACTTCGGGCTCGATGGGCTCGACTCCGATTTCGGATCCCTCGGCGTTCCTTGGTGTAAGTTTTGCTTTATGATTTTTGGGGGGTTCTTGATCGGATCTGCAACTTTCTTTCTTTCTTTTTATGTTTCATTCATTTGCATTAGCTGAATGCGGCGCCCTTTCTTGCTCAATTAGGATAACGTTACGCTTTGCTTCATTTTTCCATTTTTGAGCTATGCCACTACCCACTAGTTTCTCTTGATTATTAGAGTCTTAATTGGTGATTAGTTCAAATGTTTATGTGTTTCTCGAAATGATTAAAATGTTAAAAAAAAAAAAAATCCTATTTTGATTCTACTATTAAATCTTTGATTTTAATGCATTTATTGGAGCTTAAATATAAATAAATGTTGGGTCTTAATCCAAACTGGTTAAGCTTCTGGAGTAATAAGTTATGCAACTATCTCTGTAATAGTTTTTAATATCCTTAGTGAAACATTCACTGGACCGTAGATAAAGAAAGTGGGTAGATAATTTTGAATTTTATTTGGGAACTAATTTTGGAAAAGATTCCTCTTTTGACTAAATTTTGCTAAAACTTTAAAGTTGCATTAAAAGCAAATCAACTATCAATTTGAATTTGAATTTGCCTAGTTGGCTCTTAAATCTGTATTCAGTTCAGAGAAAACCATGAATCTATGTTCAACCCTCTTCGTTGATTATTGTTAGTGTTGATTGTCAATAACTAATCTGTATTTAGTTGATTGCCCATTTGCATTGTTTATCAATTTTTCACCTCTTAAATTTATAAACTACATTAGCATTATGCTCCTTTGCTTGTTTTTGTGGAAGGTAATGGTGTTAAAGATGCTTATTTGTTGATGTCATACTCGATTTTTTTATTTAATTATTTATTTTTCATGCTAAAGACCTGATTTCATGTCAAATTCTTAAATCTTAAGTCATTGCTTGCCCCCATTTAATTCGTATCCTTGGCAAAAGGCAGATCGAAACATGGAAAAACAGTTGAATGGACATCCAAAGATTTAATCAAGGGCCTGGAGGAGTTTGTACCAATATATGAAACACGTCCAATCAAAAACAACATGTATGGAATGGGTTTTGACCATAGCTTTGGTCTTTGGTTCATTGCCCGGTGGCTAAAACCAGATTTAATGATTGAGAGTGGTGCGTTCAAGGGCCATTCCACTTGGGTTCTGCGGCAAGCAATGCCTGACACACCAATTATCTCACTCACACCCCGGCATCCTGAGAAGTACTTGAAAAAAGGGTCTGCTTATGTTGATGGAAATTGCACATACTTTGCTGGAAAAGATTTTGTAGATTTTGGAAGTGTTGATTGGGAGAGGGTGCTGAAGAAACATGGAATTTCTGATTTCAGCCGAATTCTTGTCTTCTTTGACGACCATCAAAATGAATTGAAAAGGTACTTAATGCAATGCATCTAAAATATTGGTAATCTTCTCCCTTAAAAAGTTTTAGATATTGCTGGAGCTGATTTAAGGCCATTTAATGCCTTGTTTTTTACCTTTTATGCTTTGGGTTTTTTTGTGCTTATTTTGTTGGGATGTGCTTTCATGAACAGGCTAAAGCAGGCATTGAAAGCTCGCTTTCACCATCTTGTTTTTGAAGACAATTATGATACTGGAACTGGAGATCATTATTCATTGAGGCAGATATGTGACCAGTTCTACATAAGAGGTAGCTGCACGCACGCCCTTTTTTTTTTTTTTTTTTCTTTTCTTTTATTCCTTTTTGAGTTTCTGAGTACCCTCCCATTTGCTATGCTTTGGCCCATATCCACTGTTATCTTCTCTCATTTTGTCTGTAATTTATATCCTTGACTTTCATTCTTGCGCTTCCTTGTTTTCCCTCATTTTTCCATACCTTCCGTAAGATCATTAGTAGTATTCTGATTAGGAATTCGAAAGTTGAAATACCTATTTTCTCCATAAATCATATAAATCTTTAGAATGTGTCATCATTGTCTTTGTCACGTGACTAAATAATTGAATTGGCTTTCCCTGATTTTGGCCTTTGTTATTATCATTTCACCTCCTTAATGTGTAAGCACTTCTGCTATTAACCAACAATTGTGTTGTGAGCTCTAGCTATGCAGTGAATATCATATGTTACCAAACCAGACTACAAGGGTTCAATGCTGTAGCAATGCGGTTATGTCTTGATTGGTTCTTTTATTTGCTTTCCTGCAAATTTATCACTATTGAATCCATACCCATAAAACCATATATAAACAGAAATGAGATTAGTTAAATTTCAATAAGCTAAAATGAAGCTTTCTTTATATCAGTTCATAAGTAAAAGAGACGGGTCTTAAAAGTTTATGATTACACTTTTAGGAGTGACAAGATCTAATCTTCTGGTATTCCTTGTATGGCTTTATTTCTATTAGTAGCTTGTATATCAAATTCTTGTGTTGTTGCCTGCAGTTAGATGATAGGTAAGGGGTAAATTATTTGTGAATATGGTCTCTTGCTAGCACAGAGAAAAGATTTCGGGTTGTGTCCTGGGGAATTCTTTCATTTTTGAGGCTTGGTATTTCTTTTTAAAACTTTGTTTTTGAGTTCCTTCTATAAATATCATTAAGTGCAATGATAGTTTATGCATAAATTTTAATATAAAATATGGTGTGTCTGAATCTTTGTTTTCTGAGGTTTTTTTTTTTTTTTTGATACTTGAGGTTGTGAAGAATTGAATTCTGATTACTTAAACTGAAAGTCCAGTAGCATTCTACCAACAAACCACGTGATTGTTGGCAAGGTTGTTTTCGTTTTTTACCTAATTGTGAGCTTTGTTCAATCAGGAGGTGGCCACAGCTGCTTTAGGGACAGTGATGAAGCAAGGATTAGATTGAAACGAAAGAAATTCTGGGAGAAGGCTGTGGATATAGATGAACTTTGTGGGCCACATGAAGCATGGTGGGGTGTTAGAGGGGAGATGCGCGATAACTTTAACCACAATAAGACTGCAATCTCTTATGGTGAACATTTTCAAAATAGCAGGTTTGTTGAATCGATTCTTGATGTCTATTGGGAGCTACCACCTACTGCTGGTCCGTCCCTCACCCACCAAACTCGCTACGATCCTGCTCGTGCACCCACTCCTATTGTTGAAGATGGCCGATATGGCTTGTTTCAAAGGCTCGGTTTAGGCAGGCTTGAGAGATCTGTATTTAATGGATATACGCAGATGGTGTATCTGCAAATTTCCAAACCAGAATCTTGAAATTATCCCAGGATCAGATCTGTTTCAACTAGATGAAAGTTGTGTCACTATTTTTCTTTTCCTCGTAGCGAGTGAGAATTATTTTCTTGTTAATTTTTTTCTAAAAGTTATGTACAATTTTTAGGATCATACTCGATTACGTCTTTAAAATTTAATTTACTGTTCTGACAATCACTGTTTTCCATTTCTCTTCAAAAATTGCTTCCATGCTTCATAGTGAACCGTTTTGGCCGACTTATGTCGAGTAGAAAATCATTCATGCGTTTACGATGCAAAAATTAGCTGATGCATGCCATAACCCAAATTATGAAGGAATGGTGCCGAAGTAATATGACAACAATGCCAGACTAGACCCCAAAAGTGGGTACATCTCAAACAGGCTACAATTGTCCGTTTGTTCTAATCGGAATGCACGGTTGGAATTGATGGGATTTTTCACCAAAGAACACTAACTAATCACATTCCAACATTTGTCACCCAGCTTTTAGATTCATTGCAACTAATCAAAGCGTTTTTTTCTTTGCTTTTCTATTCATTGTCTGATTGATTAGAAAGACTTTTTTTAGGGCCGGCGTGCAGCTCTTCTTTTTGAGAGAGAGAGAGAGAGAGAAAGAGATTGGCAATCGGCAATCAATCCATTTACACAGTACTGAAAATACATAATTGGAGAAAAAGATAACAAGAAGAGCAGACAGACAACCTTCAACAATTAGACATGTCTCCAATGCCATCTTTTGTCTAATAGAAGCTGCCTTTTTTTTTTTTTTTTTTTAATTCCAGTAAATACATCAAACTTGTGATATCTGAAAACATATATATAATTCTTTTGAGTAAAGCTCTGGAGTTTTGAAGACTTTTTTGCATTAAGTCTGGTTCTTGCATTTCTCCATGGCCCTTGGAGCTGGATGCAGTCAGATGGACTCACTCAATATTAGGATGTCTTTAACAAAATACTTAAAAAGGAAATAACATGTGACCAAAATTTAAAGCAAGCTAACTCAATGTTGCCTTTAAATTTTAACTAAAACTGGGTTAAAAAAAAAAGAAAAGAATTTGAGGAATTATTGGCATTTCTGCTCAAAGATGTTAAATTTGGAACGATGATCAAGTGAAAGAAAGCCAAACTATGGCGTATTTTATTTAATCAGGAAGGGATACCTAGTCCAATTGCCTCGGAACCTTTCATTATCCTTAGTTTCCTACACGAATCGGTGAACATCCTGAGTAACAAAGATAACAAGATAAGTGAATCTATCATCATAAAGAATAAACATATAGTAAGATAATAACAAACCCTAAGAATTCGGATCGCAGGAATATAGATCAATTTAGGCTGTATTTTGCAATGTCAAGTTACACAGCAATGCGAGGCCATTTTTAAATTTTATTGCCACTGGTTCTTACCAATCAACATTGATATTAACCCTTCACGATCATAAACAAGACATGACTGTAGATAATCGAAGTCCATTTCTTTTAATGTTTCGCCAATTGTATAATTTAGCATGAAAACCACAACCACCAAGAGTTATCCAAGATTTTGAAAAGAACACAAAGTACTATCTAGGAAGAAAAGCACTTACTCCCATGGAACATCGCCTACAAGCATCCAATCGCCGTCCTTGTCTTCATATGTCAGCACGTACTCAGACCCATGGAGAAGATCCATCAAACGACTCTTACTGAGACCATCTTGCACTGGAAGGCCGTTGGAACGGCACTGCCCTGAATCACAGTCATCCATATTCACAAGTCAACACACACTTGTCTATAAAATAACAGCATTCTGACTGTTTCAAAACAAAATTATACTCATGCTCTGCTAAAGAGTGTTGAGTGATTGAAGCTCTTAAAAACTCACTAAGCTTATGCTGCAGTGAGGTTTTTTCTTTTTTTTTTTTTTTGGGTTCTGCAAGTTTGATTCTTCATTATAACTTTTTCATCACACAAAGTACAAAACCTTGCCAACCATTTTTCACGTATTTATCACAATAAAGATGCATTTTATGATATTTATGATTAGTGAAGCATTTCCCTTTCTAGATGAACCCAACGGTTACCTGATAATGCATGCTAAAGTAGAGCTACGTATGTATGAGGGATTGGGATAGCATACCAATAGTAAAACAGCTGAACATCTTTTCCAAAGCTGATGAGAGTTCCATATAGTTTTTGTAGGTCTTGAGGTCAACCTTCCTCAGGTATGGTGCTCCGTCCATGCTCACTTTTACATAGAGGCAATCGGCAGCATCATCACTGTTCTTTGCCAGATTAGAGGCCATGGTATTCTTCCGGAATGATCGAATTGGCGGCCATCCTACTACCTGTGCCCTGTTACAGAAAAATCTTGCTCGATAATTGATGTAAAATTATAAACTAACCAACTGTTATGCAAGTAAAATAGATCACAGGGCAGTGGTAGATAAAGAGCGGAAAACAAGAAAATTTGAAAGAAAATTTTCGCTACACATCCCCATAATTTTCTCCTAAACACTTTTTCCATTTGAGAAAATTGATAAATCTGGCGGCAGTATTTTGTTTATACTATAAGTGAACACCCGGAAAAAAAAATATTGAATCCGCCACTACCAAAGAGATCAAAATTCGTAATAATTAAAGAAATAAGCGATGAAATTTAGAAGGATGAGGGAAGAAAGAAAGAAAGAAATAGGCTGTGATGAACAGCACATTAAGAACTCGAAAACTCTAGGAAAAGCCCCATGGGTTTCACAAGAACTTTTCAAACCAACTATCAAATGAACGAGTAGACGGATTAGAATATGGACAATAAGATGCAAGCTTGATGTTGCTTCAAAATTTGTGGTTCCATCAACAGCATGAAGAAAACATTTTAAGGTACAATGGCTAAAATCTACCTTTAGGAAAAAATAAGTTAGCCACACAACATTCAAACAAGTTACCAGAACAAAAATAAAAGCATCTCACCAAAATTTATAATCAATGGACACATAATCCGAAAATCATAATATCCCTAAATAAAGTCAGCAGTTTCCTGATTTCGGGAATAAATGGTAATCAACATAAAACACTACTAGTTATTTCCTTAAAACTTCAAAATAGCAAATTTCTTCCCCTTTTGCACATATTTCCTCAATAATTGAAAGGAATAAACCAAAAAAAAAAAAAAAATGAAACAGTTTTGAATATGAACGTACTTTGCAGCAGGAGAACTGTCATGCTCATTTGCAGGAGGAACAAGATTCTTCTTATCTTGAACTGGCCTTGGAGACTGAGGAACACCACCAACCTCTTTCATGGCTGGTACAGGTACCCTTGCTTGCTGGGAATTGCTTTTGCTCTCCAAGCCACCTCTGGGAGAGGCCAACACAGCACCTTTAGCCAACTCAACATTAGATATACCATTCATAGGGAAAACCCACTTCCCACTAGGCCCATCAATGGCATCTGAGAAACCCCTTTTAGCTCCAGATACCAAGTTCTTCAAAGGGCTAACAGCAAAACCATTACTTTTATCATTACTCTCCAAATCTTTGCCAAAAAGAGAAACTTTTCTCTCAGGAGACTGAGAACCTGGTAAACCAAGCCTCAGCTCAGTTTCTTTGAGATTGAGAGAAGTATTGTTGGTAGTTTTGCTGGTTTTGTCTTCAATGGAGTGAGTTGAAGAAGAAGAAGAAGAAGAAGAAGAAGAAGAAATCTTCTCAGAGCTTCTTTCCATTGAAGAAGTCTCCGCTAAGCCTATGTAATCATGTTCTAAAGGTGTAGACATCAAAGTTTGAAACTCTTAAGAACTTTTTTTCTTAAATATACAAGCGAAATCAAGAAGAAGAAAAAGACTAATGTAAGACGAGAGAAAGAGAGAAAGAGAGAAAGACAGAAGCCGTCTGGTTTGCCTCTGGGCTGGTTTTTGACGCAGCGGAAAAAGAAGCTTCTTTGGCCTTTCAATAGGTGCTTTGCTGGGTATTATAATATTTTTTCTTTTCTTTTTTCCCAGAAATTCTACGCAATATCTGGTCTTGCAAAAAAAAAAAACTTTGCTTTGCCATGGCAGAGGTGAGATGACTTTATTTGAATGAACATTTATAAAAAGGAAACAAAATACTATAAAGGCTTAAACTTAAAATTTCATTTCTTGTGCTTAGCCTTTTACACCTAAATAGCTTAAATTTACAAATTGTAAACTAAATTGAATTTGATTTTAAGCATTATATATTTGTTTAAGAGAGAGTATATTACAACTTCAATTTAAAAATTTTATATAGAATTTACTCTATTTTCAAAAAACCAAGGTTGTAAACAAATTGCTAAAGATATTTAATAAGTAAAAGTTATTTAATTATTTTTTTAGTGGTAAGGAGTTTAAGAATTTTTTTTTTTGGTTTGATTCAAATAAATTTATTCAAAATGATTAATTTATAAAAGAATAGTTTTTGCATTTTCTCACTTAATTTAAACTCATAAAATAAAAATATGAATTTTCTTAATCATTTGAACAAGGTAAATAAAAATTATTTAATGACTTTGATTGATAAAAAAATGTTAGTTGATTTTAGAGTGATAATGGTTATAATAAAATCGAATTCGATTCTATTTTTTGAATAATATATAATATTATAAAATTTTAAAATATAATTTAAATCGATTTTTTTTAAATTGATCTGAAATAAATTTTATTAATTTGATTTAATTTATCATTTTTTAAAGTTCAATTTTTTATTTTTATAATTATTTTAATATAATTTAAATAAATTTAAATATAAAATAATTATTTTATTTTATATAAATTTAACATATATATATAAATTAATAAAAATATATAATTCACTTCCATTCAATTTTTCAATTTTTTACTTATTTATTAAAAATTCAATCCAAACCTAATATATATAATATCTAAATTTAATTCAAATTAAATAAAAAAATTAATTTAAATTAAATCAAATATTATAATTACAAATCAATTTTGATATTTTTATCATCCAAAACCTAAATGTTCGCTCAAAAGACATTGCAATAAAAAAGAACAAAATTTTTCCTCTTTTACGTGTCAAGCTGTGACAAAAGGTGCCCTTTTTTACACATCACAAGCTGTAAAAGTAAATGAAATTATTTTTTTCACAAAATTGAAACATTCTGTGTTCGTTATAGTCAATCAAATGATAATTTTTTTTTATCAATAATTAATTAATTTAATTAATTAAAATTTATTTTTTTAATAAAAAATATTAAAATTTAATTTTATCGATAATTAAAATTATTTTAAATATATAATTTATAATTATTTATATTAAATTATTAAATACGACACACTTATCTTAATATAAAAAATTAAACAACCCATCTATTTTAAGATTTTTCAAAAGCCAAAAACAAAAAAAATGTTAATTCTTTGGGTATTCATTGTCTTTTTGCATCAACTTGTTAGACCAGTTCCACCGACAACTCACTGAGTAGTCCCGGCAACCTTTACACTGTCCTTCTCACCAGTTTCTTTTTACTACTGTTACACTTTGCTTTCTTTTTTTTTTTTTACAGTTATCATGCTAACCTATACCGAATCAAACGATGCATGTTAGAAAAAAGATATATTTTTAAAAATTATTTTTTAAAGAAAAACAAAAATTAACGAATGAGTTTTGAATATGAATATGTTATGGAGTATCCAATTAATGTGAGAAATTGTTTTTTTAAGATCATAAAAGATAAATTTAAATAAAATTTGAAAATATTTTTGATATATTTTAAAAAATAAAGCATGTGCTCATATCTACATTTATATCCTTAAAATCTATATCGGATAAGAAAATCTCAAAACAATAAAGAATTCAAGAAATATAAAAAATTAGTAATAGATTTAATTTTCTATTTGGGGTACTATATTAAAAGAGAAAATCAGAAAAAGCGAAAGCAGCCAGCAAGAGGCAAGAGCAGCGGCAGGAGAGCAGGGGCAGGCAGGCAGCTGTGCACGATGGGGGGAAAGGGATTGCACGAGAAAGAACAACTGAGCGTGTCAAGAGTTGAAAATGAAGCACCGTGACAAAATAAAATATTTTCAGACTTGTGACCGTGACCGTGATGATAATAAAACTCTTCTTTTGGTGGAGGACAGATTTTTTTACTAGATTTTATTCTATACATTTTACAACCTTGAAGGGGACAACATAAAACCAAAATTAAAAAAAATAACAAAAAATTTCTTGAAACTAGAGAGTTTTTTGCTGGAAAGTTGTCACGGAACAATCAATATGCAGTAATTTTGGCAGTTCAAGATCTTAAGAATTAGGAAGTGTCATTGGCCAAAATTTTGGGTTATTGGTGAAACCAAATTGTTATAAAAAATTTTTAAAATTTGGGTTTTGATGCAAAAATTAGGTCTTGATGCTTCATACGTGGTAACATTGATTTTCATAGTGCTGTTTTGTAAGTAGATTTCCATGCGATGAGAATCTTTCGTTACACACGAGAGTGCGACTTTTTTTACTACACAACACCATTCATCCAAAAATAACTTAAGTAATGTAAAATATTTATCGGATTTTATTAATTAAAAATGAAAATTTCAATATAAATTAATAACATTTAAGCATAGAGTGATTTTTTTTAAATTCATTAATTAATAATTACTCTTTTATAATCTCAATCAAAATCTTTTTTTGGCAAGGTACAAAAAAAGTGATGATTAATGAAAAAATTGAAAAAAAGTGATGATTAAATTTTTTATTTTTTTTTACACATGATGCTAAATTTAGTATAATTAATAATTAATGGGGACAGAAGATAAAGATAAATTATCTTGTGTCGAAATCTTATACGCATTTGCAGTTTGCCCTATCTTCTTTTTACTGAATGTTTTTACTGAAGTAGCCGACAGTGTCGGGGTGAATCTTTTTGTTACCACGCCTGTATCTGTTTGTAATAATTGTGTAAATACCAAAAACAATCGTTACCTCGCGTGCAATTCAATCTGACGGTCTATAGCAGATTCCATGTATGAAGGGATCAGATATTTCCACGTCAACAGATGAGGTTGTTGGGAGACATAACGGCGTTTAGTTGTTGGGGTTGACGGTGGTAAACGGTAATGATTGAGTCCTTGACTCTTTGATTGCCGTGGTAAACAAGTTAACTTGACCGGTTACCCTCGGCCTCCTGAAAAACGGCTAGTGGTAAAATTTTTATTTCCAATTTAAGTCTTATTTTTTCTCCTTTCTTTTACCTATAAAATTTTCAACCATTGCTTGAACAATTAATTATACTAAAATTTATTTGGTAAGTATTTTATTTTTTTGTATTTTATATTTTATAATATTTGTTTTATATTTATTTTTTTCATAAAAATAAATAAAAGATTATGAAGTAATTGTTCAATGATAACAACTGAGAATTGTGTAAAGTTTAATAAAATTTTATATAAAAACCAACTTTACGTAATTTTTTTAATGATGAAACAATTATAAAATTATAGTTAAAAGAATTGTAAATGAAATGTTTCATAATTTTAGTATCTTTACCTTAATTTACTTAATTTATTTTGTCTATTAGTTATCTTCGTTAATGATAGAAAAATACTATCATTCATACTCACTAAAATTATTCGATCATTGTCTGATTACAATGATATTATGAATAATTTGAACTTTAAAACAATTATTTTTTCTCTCTCGTTGAAATCTTGATTAGATAATTTCAATAGTGGGACTACTTGACAAGGAAAATACCAATATATTACACCAAAAGTGTAAATAATTTTCTTCATTTTATTCTGATTGCCTTGTCTAATTCAATAAAAAAAATTTCAACAGTGATACCTACTCAAAAAGTGTTATTTTACCTAATTCGATATAATTTTAATAATAAAAATAATTCGACTGTTGAAATTAAAAAAAGAGCTACATCACGGTGAATTGAACTTTTTACATTCTTATATAATCAAAGTTTTGCCATTGTTCTTGTATTTATACTATATCATATGAGATTGTATTCAACTCTATAGCTTCTGTCTCAAATTCAAACCTTATTAAAAATTAATTAAAAAGGAGTTTTATTTTAAATATACATGTGAGAAAATCCCTTTTTATTTGGCAGGCACAAAAAATGAACAATTTTGATTTATATTTAATTACTACTAAATTTATATAATTTTCTTAGTTGTAAGTAGGGGCTGCTGCTTCCCCAATACCACAATGTCTCTGTTGAAAACTATTGTTAGTTTTTGAATTGAATATTTGAAGAAAATCAACTTTTTAAGATTTAATGTGAATATTTTAGTCTGCAAAGCTTGCATAATCTTCACGTACAAGATCCTGTCCAATCCATTTTTATACCCCAATCCACATGAAGCATGCTTTTATAATGATCACCTTTAAATTTTGATTTTTGTCACTGTGAGCTAGAAATGGCTACTCACAGTGGGTTTTTTATTCTCTATCTCTCTAAAAAGACGAATCACTAACTCCATTTGTCACAATTTTACTGCTAAATTTAATCATTTTTATTTTGATAATACAATTAAGAGTATTTTTAAGTGTATGCTCGTTCCTATAATGGAAATGCATCAAGGAAAAAGCCAAAACTTGAAAAAGAGGGATGATTTCTATCAATTATTGAAACCATGCATTCCCGTAAAATTATAATTCAAAACATTTTATTTCTATTATTTTCAACATTCTATCAAGTTTTTGTTAGTATTCATATCTCGCCAATACAACTATATAATGTATTGATAAAACGTTGAATTTTTAAGTTTAATGATTAAAAATTAATTTTAAATATAAAAAAATCCTTATTCCATGATTATGCTAATTAATGTTAACTTTCATCACTCAATTGAACAAGAATCAAACCAAAAAGTTTGATGGATACAACATTTCCATAAACTCAAACAACAAATACATATATATATATATATGTATGTAAGTATAAAATCACCTTAAAAAGTGTTAATAGATTTTTGTTAATCGAACTTTATTTAGCATTAATGACAAGAATTATAACCTCTATATATTTTGAGATATAAAGAAATACTTTTTGGAAAAATGGAAACAGAAAATATCTAAATTTGCTGAGATGATAAATAATTGAAGGCATTAGCAAAGTTACTTAAATGAGAATGGTGCCCCAT